ATATGTAGCTAATAAAAATAACTCCAACAACATAATTAAAAATAACAATAAATTAATTTATAAATACACTTTTTAACTTAAAAAATTCAAATATTAAAAAATATTTACAAAACTTGTTTTAATCATTAACTCTATTGGAGATATCAACAGCGCATTGTGTGTTTACGCGAATAATTCCCTTAACGCTTTTAGATAACAGAATCATACAATGGAAATTGTTTACGTTTATACAAAAAAACGAGCCGAATTTGGAAAGCAATGCAACTTTTCTGATAGAACTGCAGAACTTCTTGTGGATATAGCGCCAGATCCAGAATTAGCACAAAACTTTATTATAAAGAATCCTATCGACAGATCTGTGCAGTGCTCACAAGAAATGTCAGAACATGAAATAAACACGGAAAGATATTCTTCTGATTCTAAAGGGATAAACCACACTGAAGGAGGCTGGCCTAAAGATGTAAATCCTCAAGAACAAGATCAAGTTATACGTTTTCGAAAGAAAGTTGAAAAAGATGAGGCATACACAAGTACTATTCAATCTCTTGGTCAAGTACCTTATAAATATTTTTGTATTTTAGTTAATGGAACACTGCATTAAGCAAAATAACTCACTGAATATATATGAAAACTATTTTGACGATATTGGTGTAGAAGCATCCGAGGAACCACCATCTGCTAAAACAATTAATGTACTAAGGTAACTAAAACGCTTTTATATTGTGCTAGAGATCCGAATGAGATAAAGCGAACAGCTACACACATCTCTTGGTTCCCAGATGGCCCTTCAAAGTTAGCTGTGGCCTACTGTAACACAGAATTCCAAGCTTCTCCACCAAATACTTCAAATGATTCATATATATGGGATGTTCTTAATCCTAACAAACCAGAACTTATCTTGAAGCCACTTTCTCCTCTTGTGTGCATTGAATATAATCCAAAGGATTCACACACTCTAATAGGAGGATGTTATAATGGTCAAATAGGTGAGATTATTTTAAATCTCCCATTTTTATAAGCTGTATGGGACAGACGTAAGGGCTCACAACCTGTTGAAGTTTCTCCTGTTGAGCAAAGTCACAGAGATCCAGCCTGGAAAGTTATTTGGATACAGTCTAAAACGGGAACTGAATGCTTCTCAACAAGTACTGATGGACAAGTACTTTGGTGGGATGTGCGAAAAATGGCAGAACCTACTGAAATATTATATCTTGATCCTACTAAGAAGCAAGATATAAAAAGTGCTATTGGAGCTTATTCTCTTGAATATGAATCCACCATTCCAACAAAATTTATGGCTGGAACCGAGCAAGTATGACCATTTTCGAGAGGCTATTTACCAATTTTTATACTTGTATAATAACTATTTGTTTTATCTAAACTTTTAGGGATTAATTATATCATGTAACCGAAAGGGCAAGTCTCCTGCTGAAAAAATTGCTGCTGTTTACCCTGGTCATTTAGGCCCAGTTTATGCACTACAAAGAAATCCATTCTTTCCTAAAAACTTTCTTAGTGTAGGAGATTGGACAGTACGCATTTGGTCTGAAGACATTAAGGATTCTCCTATTATGTGGACTAAGTTCCATCAACATAATCTGTCAGATGGTTGTTGGAGTCCGGTTAGGCCTGGCGTATTTTTCACAACAAGACTTGATGGGGCTCTAGATGCTTGGGATATAATATTCAAACAGAGAGAACCGACTTTAAGCATACAGGTAAATGTCTTCCTTTTTATATATTTTAATTTAATATTACATGATATCTACGAGGTAAACTTATTTTAGTTAAATAACTTTTATTGATTTTCTATATAAGTAAATATTTTAACTTATGGTGCAATATATTTTAATTTACTATGACAGGCTAAGTAATTCGCTTAACTGTCGGAATTCATCTTCCGAG